CGCTTCACAAAAATGAACCGAAACTCAGCGAATACATGCCTCACAGACATGATAAATATATCTATAGAAAGCTTTAAATTACTACTTAACGAAATAAAACAAGTCAAAAACAAAAACTCTTTCATTATAATCTTAATCATAATCTGTAAAGATGCACTTCTCTCTAAAGGCGCGTCTAATGAGGAATGAGGAGATGGCGAGTCAGGATCGACAACTTCATCCTTGCGACACCAACTCAGAAAACACTGTTTATTAGTAAATAATTAAAATATCTCCTTCCTCTTTCCCTCTGACACATTTACGGTAATTACTTTTGCCGATGCTTTGTGGCAAGCTTAAGCCTATTGCGTGCATTTGAACGCAGAACTCTTCAGCTGCGCTGACGGCACGCACCATACATACTGCTGCTGCGGGACACTAAACACCGTCGGCTACTAAACAGAGACGCTCTTGACAGTCGCTGTAGCACGGTCTCGTGTTGTTTCCACCAGCGCGGCAATTTTTTCATCACTAATTGATGGATGTCTAAAATATAAAAATAAGGAGAAGGCTAAAACAGGCCCGAGGCCCGGCCCGTGTCTGAACTATGATGTGAAAATTGGCCCGAAGCCCGGCCCGAGGGGGTGTAAAAAAGTCGGGGCCCGTCGAGCTCGGGCTGAAATGCATGGCTCTAGTATAAACTTTGTGTGAAGAACAGACTGAAATTTAAGCCGCCAGTCATTGAAAATTTATGTAAACGTGGCATGTGAAGACAAGTTTGTCACTGAAACAAAACTGGAGCATTTTAATTATTTTATTTCTTTGAAACTGGCAGCCTTTGGTCAATACATGCTTTCGTTGTATGTAAAGGAGCAGCATGAACATTCATCAAAACCTTTTCTTTTGTGTTTTTTTTTTGGAAGAAATAAAGTAATTCAGGTTTAGGACTTAATGGTGAATAAACATTTAAATAAATAAAGACATAACTTAAATTTTTGGTGAGCTATACATGGTATAATACATTTAAATTTGTGATTCCATTGAATCTACGAGACTCTTAATGAACTTATCATTGTAATTGTCTATCGGTCTCTTCTTTTTCATTAGATCACCTATAAGGCTCTTGGCTCCCTGGACCCCAGTGCAGATTTGACAACACAACGTGGCCGTGTCTTCAAACTCCAAAATGAGACCCATCATCTCTTCGTAGGATTGTATCCTGGCACCACATACTACTTTACTCTGAAAGCCAGTACAAATAAAGGCTTCGGCCCCCCTGTGACCACCCGTATTGCCACCAAAATCGCAGGTAAGGGAACGGCAGGGTTTTAGCTGAGGGTGCAGCTAAGATTATTGGATATTTTCCAAAGGCTAATGATGATTATATATATAATTATAGTAAAACAGACCCTCAAGTTCCAGTTTAATTGAGTTAATGTGACAGACATTTGTTCTTAATGGATGATATAGTGTATTGACTTCGGACAGAGTGGTGATAATGTATGAAATTATTTCAGGGAACATGAACTGACGGGGATAAATAAGCTTAATTTGATTGCTTACCTAATTATCTCTTGCATTTCTAAAATTTGCATAATTAGTTTTGTCATTTTGACTTTTTTTGTGTCTTAAAGAAGCTTTGCTGGAGCGAAAATCTCATTAGTGAGTCGTGTTATTGGCATAAATATCATTGGAATACAGTTAATGTAAAGTGAACAAAATAATGAGAACATGAATCGTAAACAACATCCTCCACAAGTTCAGCCGTATTCCTGTGGCCCACGGCTGTCAGTTCATTCCGTTTCATAATGACGTGGCATTTGTGCAGCACGCCAGACACCGTTTATTAAAACCGTATTGTTCACTGAATCTAAACATTGTAATGAGAGAGTGACATTTTCAAAACGATTACATAGTAATGATCGTTTTGTGTCAGGCTTCAAAACTGTCTGCTTTCTTGTAGGAGTAAATACTGTGAAATGAATGTTTTTACAAATACATGAATATTAATTATGCATAATATTAAAACATGTTTTTGTGTGTTTGAAAGGCAGCTGAGTTCCAAGTTCAATACAAGCTAAACTCTGTTGACGGCATCTGTAACATGCTGTCAATTGCCGCATACAACAATTTTGACATCTCCTTCAGTTTGTAAAACATGCAAGAAGTGTTTACATGAATGCACTTTCATTTCAAAGCTCTTTTATTAATATTGGTCATTTTATATTTGCAAATGCAATTAACTCATACTTATGTTACATAAACCGATAAAAAGTGCAAAGCTTTTTAGACATCCGGTTCTCATCCATTTGTCCTTGTCACTTGAGATGAGGTCTGCTAAGCTATACAGTACGTGCTTGCTTTATATCCCGATAGTTGGTGTCCTTTAACATGAATCTATGTGTCTGCAGCTCCATCCATGCCTGAATATGAGACCGACGCTCCTCTCAACGAGACAGACACGACAATCACCGTCCTCTTAAAACCTGCCCAATCACGAGGGGCCCCTGTCAGGTGAGCATCCAAAGTATTTTGCTTATTTGTTTTACACTGAAGAACTGATCAAATGTAAAAAAAAAAAAATGTATACCTTGAATGCAATCTAAGTCGCTTTGGATAAAAGTGTCTGTCAAATGCATAAAAGTAAATGTTATTGATGTTGAGAATGTTTGCATTTATAACTTAATCTAAGGAAGTACTTGTCAAGTGTGCTCTTTTGACACTTTCATTCAAAGGAGAATATAGAAAGGACAGATATAATGAGGAAATTTAAAAATCCTAATTGGCTGTTATCAATTGACTGAGATTAGGAGCCTGAAATTGTGCTTTCTGGACTTCAACATTGGCTGTGAAGATTTAAGTACTTGTTCACATGCTGATTGTGTCAAACTACAAAACTGGTAACACTTCATTTCTATAGTCCACTAGACATTCTACTAGCTATAAGTACAGTAACTTTGCAGCTACATGTCAACTACCAGTCATTACAGTATTAGTAGACTGTCTGCTTAATATCTGTTTCAATAAAGAGACGTCCCATTTTGATGTCCGCATCAAATTACATTTATGAAGGTGATTTTATATACATAGAAAGCATGTTAAATATAAAGTGTTTGTAAAGTGTGTGCTTTACTGTTTCAAATAACTGTTATGAAAATAAAATGCCAAAATATGGGTGAAATATTGTTCTATCATCATTCATCTTAATGGATATATTTATGTAAACATTTTACAACTTACTTATTCTGACCTGAACTTAAAATATATAAAAGAATTAGTGATAATACTAAATTTTGTTATATTTTAAAAAGCTTGTTTCTGACAAATGGGTAAAACCCATTGGCTTGAAGGACAGTAGCAAAGATTGGTAAAGATTTAAAATGACAGTTAATTAGTTTTGGGGGCTGCACTGTAATCCTTAATGGGCGTCTTTTAATAACATATAATGATTCTGGTTCTAAATATGCCTGACAAGATTTTTTTGTTATATGAACTGTTGTTACACTGAATGATATTTTAGTTGGTGTCTTCTTTAAATCATGGTAAAATGTATGACAGCCATTATTTTTCTGGTCAGAATTCTAATGTACGGGGGAAAAAACTAAATGTTAAGCTGTATTAAACTTGTATTGTTTTGATGCTTGAAAACCCCTTTTCGTCATTGACCCATCTGTTAACACTTTATTTGAATAGTTCCCTAACAGACGTTCTACTGACTGTAAGTAACTTTGCAAGTACATGTCAACTTATGCTACTAACTATAACCCTAACCCTGACTTAACAGTCTACTAATACTCTAATGAGAGTTAGTGTAGTTGCAAATGAAATGAATGAGAGTTAGCTGATATGTTGTTGCAAAGTTGCTTATAGTAAATAGAATATCCCATGTGGATTATGTAAAAAATATAAATAAATTAATTAGATCTGCGGACAGATGCTAAGCACATTAAAAGGCAAGAATACACCAAATTACCCATGATTCCTCTCTCCAATCATCCAAGAGGGGTCTAGTGCATCGACTGAATGAAGAAGTGCATTACTGTTGATTCACTCGGGGTCCTGAGGGTTTTTAAATGCAGTCATTCAAATAAGCATCATTTGTATGCTAAGCCTTCGAGGGGATCCTGGTCCATTTGGCTGTGTTTTGGCACTCAAACAGAGCCCTTTTCTGTGTGGAAATTCAGACTGTGAATGTGCAACAGATTTTGGCAAATTCTCGAAATTGCAAGTCGACACTGACTTGGAAGAACAGCACAGTTGATGTGCAATGGGAGCCCATCAGTAATTATGACAATTATTTGGTTGCAAGCACAATTCTGAGTTGTATTTGCCGGTGTTATCGTAGTACCATTGAGATACTACTTTTTATTAATATTTTGAGTCTGTTTTAAATTTTGTTTTAAATATTAAATATTTTAGTAATTTTTGCCTTTTTTAAATAGTTTTTTAATACATCTATATAGTTTTTATTCAATTTATTTCAGTTTTATTTATTGTAGTGCATCAAGTTAAACTAAGTTTCAGTGAGAAATGTTGCCTTGGAAACTAGCTGAGATAAATGTTTTTTTATATATATTTTATTTTAAGTAATAATAATTTTTAATGGCTTTAATTTTAGCAAGACAATATATGATAATATTCTATTCTATTCTATTCTATTCTATTCTATATATTTTTAAGGGTAGAACCAAAACCTATAAAACTGATGCCTGTTTTATAAAAACTTGGATTTTTTTTTTTTTTAAGTATTTCCATTGTTAGTGTGCTCTACAATGCATATGACCCTGGCAATCCATAAGCGTCTTTATGAAAAATACGCAACTGAAAATTGTTTATAATTACAACAGATTTTGACCAGCGTTACAGCGGACTCACAACACACGACATCCAGTGTGCACTTAAAGCCATTAGTTTGAAATGGAGATCCAGCGTGTTTGAAAGAGAAAAGCAGGCAGGCCTCTTTGGTCATGGGAAATTATCCTTTATGAAAGATGCCAGATTAGAGGCTAGGATAATTTGCCATGTCTTTTCGGCGAAACATACATTTCCCTAATTGCACATAATTGGGAAGTACTGTATGTTCTTGGCATAAGACCACATAATTGCAAACAAGTACTATTAGCACAGGGAGCTCAAAAGATGTCCTTATCTATTCACCGTGTACTGAAACACACACATGCCCCTCTCCAGTTCTTCCCCATGACAAGCACTTTCAAAAAGCCCCATGAGCACAAATCCGCCACCTCCCCTCCAGCTAATTACTGTAGTAGAGATTTCCCTCTGCTGGCTTGCTACCGCATCGCCTGCCTCGTCGTTTTCTCTCAAGAGGAGAAGCAGCTGTGTATTTTTGGGTCTCATGCCGGTTTAAAGAGTTTTTTTTTATTATTCCAAGAAGAGACTTGAATAGAGATGTTTAGCAGCTAGTTGTTAGCGTTAGAAAATTCTTGATGGCTGACAAGGCCTTCTGTGATTCTTAGAAAGCTACGGGAAGAGATGTTCTAGATGGTTTTAAGGGCTCATTAAATTGCCTCGGGCACAGCTCCCTCTCTCTCTTTTTTGGATGTGCCATCACTAGCTGAAGATATTTCTCAAATCGAGAGGCTGCAGCATAAGCGGCTAATGCTAAAGCGTGTGCTTAAATATGAAAATTGGCGCTTACAATTCCTAATACATTAAGCTAGTTTTATTGTGCACCAATGTATTAAATCAAGTCCCATCCTACTGTTTTCTCATTGAATGTCATGTTTTCCTCATCACTATGTCACATTACAGAAATGAAATGCATTGTGAACATGTTTTATGTTGACTTAAATAAAAACTTATTGGAATTGAGCCTCTTCATTAATTTTTCTGAGGCCTCTTCAGAGACTAGCTACAATAATGACATATTAGGTACTTGTTTTGATATTTAGTACATTAATTAATCTTTTTTCCCTCTAGTGCTTATCAAGTGGTGGTTCAAGAGGAACGGAAGCAGAAAGTTCGCCGAGCCACTGATGTGTTGGAGTGTTTCTCCGTTCCTGTTAGTTTCAGAAATGCCTCCATCTTGAATTTACCTCACTATTTCGCGGCCGAACTCCCCCCTGTTAGCCTTGCTGTAGTACAGCCCTTTACTATAGGAGACAACAAGACTTATAATGGCTACTGGAACGCACCGCTGTCACCAGCCAAAAGCTACAGCATTTACTTTCAGGCCCTGAGCAAAGCCAATGGGGTGAGTATCCCATTTACTGTGTATTTCATTTACCAATTCAATCTTCTTGATAATGGTTGACACTTGAGTATTGGTTGGTAAATTGAACTCAAACTGAATTAAATAATGAATTATATTTTGCACATAAGAATGGAGCTTCATGACAATTAAACATTTTTCAATTCTCATCATGATGATCCCCAAAAATACTTGTATTATTTACTTTAGTATGTTTTGTACTAACAAATGCTGTTAAGCATGCACATACCAAAAACTAATGCAGATGCACGTCAAAAAATATATAACAAAATCACACTGTTGGCACATCATTAGTATTATTATTAATAATATTTTTTCCTAATATATAGCTGTATTTTTTACTATAAAATAGTATTGCAATAATAGGAATCAAAATAAGAAACAGTATTGACAATAATGTGAATTATAAAAAATGTAAATAAAAAACTCTAATGATAATGGTGGCAAATGGTGGGAAATTTGGAGAAAAAAATATTTTTTACTCTTATTTTTACTGACATTATTTTGAGAGATTCAGCCTTAAACAAGCCATCTTTACATTTGAGAAGTCTTACCATTGGGGGGGAAAAAATCATTTTTCAAAGCATGAAGCTGTAGGAAAAAGTCTAAAAGTACACAGAACATAACCTCAGCTGTATATCATCCAAAATAACAAGGCTATCATAGAAACGGCTAGATGTATTAATGCATATTTAGATATATATTCACATATTAGCATTTCAGCAGGCATAATGCACTCAGTAAAGGCTCCATTTGGACCTGCTGCATTGCTGTGCGTTTTGAAGTATGTGGTTCCCAATTTGATTGGATTTGATTCAATTCAATCTCTCAGTCTCAGGCAGCTGGAGAAAAGCACTCAAAAACAACCTCAGACCGTGACCCAGATAATTTGATTGGAGATTCATGCATAAAATATGGATTTAGGTTGGTAGTTCAGATTTGTTTTCAACTTACCTTGTTCCAAGTGTATTCGAGGAGCACTCGGTGTAAATGTGTGCCATTCAAATTTTTTCATTTCCACGGCGCAAAGTAACAAATAAATTCACAATGCAATTCAGTTTTGAGATTACCTGTCATACTGATAGCTATTCAAACCGGCTTGATGTAGCAGTTGTCATTAGTAGAATCATTTATTGATTTGACGCATTCTGTGCAGTTTTGTAATGATATTTATGCATGAAATATACAAAACAATATCACTGCTTTATACAGTGGCTCTGAAGAGTATTTGGACTTTGGACGCTTAAAAATGTCTGAATGTGATTGCACTGGATAACAAATATATCGCACCAAGTGTAGACAAGTGCACATTTCAAGCTTCGTTTAGTTTGTACTATCTAATAAAGACATTCAGAGATTAAGTGTCACTTAAGCATCCAAGTACTTGTAGAATAAATAATGTGGATAATTCAGCTTGTTATCAAACTGTAAATTTCCTGGAGACACTTGATTCTCTCCCCAGCTCTGTGCTCCCTGAGGTTCTTCCACTAAGTATTCCTATGGTTTTGTTCTCTAGTTTTGCAAAAATTACCATTGATGACATCTCAAAATTAGTGTTGACAATGAACTCAACCACTTGTATCCTTGACCCTGTCCCCAACTACTGTTCTTAAGGGGTGTCTGTCAACAATCAGTCCCCTCCTATTAAATATTGTTAACACTTCTCTTATTACTGGGATTGTTCCGTGTGAACTTAAGGTTGCAGCTATCACACCAGTCCTTAAAAAGCCTCGATGTGATTCCTCTGATCTAACAAATTACAGGCCCATTTCAAATCTTCCTTTTCTGGCTAAAGTCCTGGAACATGTTGTTATGGCACAATTACATTCTCATTTGTCATTTAACAACCTTTTAGAGCCTTTCCAATCTGGGATTAGATCGGGGCACAGTACTGAGACCGCTTTGGTTCGCGTTATGAACGACCTCCTGGTCTCAGCTGACTCTGGTGCCTCTTGGTTTTGTTAGACCTGTGTGCAGCATTTGACACAGTATGTCACTCTATATTACTTGATAGACTAAAGAGTTGGCTCGGTATCTCTGGCACTGTGTTTGAATGGTTCAGATCCTACCTTACAAATAGATCCCAGTTTGTTGTTCCTTGGAAATAACAAATCCGACATTAGTCAGGTCCAATATGGTGTCCCTCAGGGTTCTGTTTTGGGGCCCATACTATTTAGCATTTATATGCTTCCTCTGGGGCAAATCATTAGAAAACACGGTCTTGGGTATCATTTTTATGCTGACGATACCCAAATATACATCAGTTCAAAGTTTGATGTTACAGTTAGTTCTGCAATCCTTTCTGAATGTTTGCAGAATATAAAAGTATGGATCACAACTTTCTAAAGTTAAATAACTCTAAGACTGAGGTTCTTCTTATTGGCACACCAGCAGCCATCCACAAATGTAGCAGCTTTAATCTGACACTGGATAACAGCTCTGTACTGCCATCTATACACGCTTGTAACCTTGGTGTGATATTTGATGTTAATTTGACATTGGAGGCTCACATTAGGAGTGTTACTAAATCAGCAT